ACTGATATGTAAGAGACTGTACAACCTGAAAAAAGAGACAAGGCATGTCCTTTTTGTAAACCAAGAAAATCTTTTAATATTTTTAAAAAACAACTTTTTAGTGGCCTGTAGGTGTCACTCTTCCAACACATTTAGATATCCCTAAAATCTGTTTAGAATTTTGATGAGTATTTTACAGGATTCCATTTTTCATACAATTTTGCAGTCGCACTGTATTTTCATGAGTCTGAATTCTGAAAGTATCAGTCAGTTGGAAAGCATTGCAGATGTGCTGGTTTTGCTATTCTTATAGTCTAATGGATTAACTAAATTAGCTAAAAGACCAACTCTTATCACCTCTGTTGAATCACCGGATCATGTCATTCTGGCTTCCTGTCATTCCCTGGTACTCATGTAGTCTATCCAGTAAGTTGTTTGTCTACTAGTGTAGTCTGCAGTGCAGTATTTAGTGTTGGAAACAGCAGTTTGTCTCAAGTATCTAGTTTCTTGAGATCTGCTGTTCCTCAAGGATATTGACAGGATGTTGGGGGTGGTAAAAGCCACAACATGCAGATTGGCTAAACTCCGCTAACTGCAGCTAAATTGTCAGTATGTATAATGGAGACTATTTTCATCAGCCGTAAAGAAAGGGCTTGTTTGTTTCTGAAAATGCCAGTTTGGGATAAGGAATATCGTATCAATTTTTCACTGGCGTGTTCTCATTTCTGACTGATGGCCTGAGCAACTCCAGACATTCCTGAATAACAAATTTTATTTGAAATGGTCAATCTGGCTTCCACCCTGGCTGTGGAACTACCTGGTAGGTTACTTGAACCTAAAGCAGGCACAGCCCACCCATGAAGCAGGGTGAAGCCACTGCCTCGTGTGGCAAAAGTCTCAAAGGTGGTACACCACTGCCTCCTCTGCCAGTGGAAAAGTAGTACCAGCACCAATTTCTTGAGATATCTTGGAGCATGCAATGCTTTTGCTATATTTCTGCAAATGGAGTGAGCAGCACTTCCCATTTTGCCTCAGGTGGCGGAAACTGGACATGCCAGCCCTGGAGGCTGAAAAATGAATATTTCTTTGCTGATTTTGTTAGGCCTTGCAATTTTGTTAGACCTTACAGTACAATGGTTTTTGATTCTGAATACCATGATATTCTTCTGCCCCACATTCAACCGCTAGGTGTCTCTGGGAAAGCATTCCAATAGGTTTGTTACTATATAATTCAAAGACGGGTTATTGTGGAGGCAATGTGTATGAGAATGTCAGAATGTCCATGTCTATGGGAAATATAAGGGGTTCCATAGGGCTCGGTATTATTATGAATGCGGCTTAATATCTGCATGAAGCCTTTCTTAACAAAGATAGGTGTAGCTTTGGGATTCAGCATCATGAATATTCATGGATCTCTTTCCTTTATCCAGTTGGCAAGATTAATAACAACACCACACACTTACATATGCTAGTGACACTTAGCAACTGTGTGCCTTTATTTGTATAAGAAATAAAACCATGCCTTTTAACCAGTGCTTTTTTTCTTTAAAAAAATGTTTAGGGGTACTCATCTTGATTCAAGAAAATCACCATTTTATAGTTCAAATTGGGGAAAATAAATACAGTAAATGGACCAAAGTACAAAGATTCACAAAATGTTTAGGGGTTTGCATGCCCCCAGAAAAAATGCACTGCATATAACGACAAAAAAAAAAGCTGTACCCTTCAGATGCTTTCAGTTTATATCTTTTCAAGGAGGGCAATTTAGCATACCAGTAATCTACATAAATTATAAAGATAGAAGAAGCAATTCCAGGATTTAGCAATGGAGCCCTGGGCTGCTGTTATGGGATGAGAAATAAGGTTTTACTTTTCACATCCTGTTCTGTATACAGGTGTAGAAATAGTTCATTTAGTTATCAAAGAGATCCTAGTATTCAGAAATTCAGCCATCTTGGGGGCAGCCCTGCCATATACACACCATCTCTTTCCTGAACCAGTATAGAAGCTGGATGAGGGTGAATAGTTTGATACTGAAACCCAGCAAGACACATGTGATATTGGTACAGGATAGCCAGTCTCTGGAAGGACTTAGCTAGCCTATTACAGTCTCCCTGTTGACTTTGCCTGACCAGGTCAGAAGCCTTGAACTTGGCATTGCTTCTTGAGAAGTACATTGAGCGTCATTGTAGGAGTGCCTTCGCTCAAGTTTGGCAGATGAGCAGGCTTTCTTCCTCTCCTAAATGGATCAAACCTTGCTATGTGGATCTATGCTTCTGTTAACTTTTAGGCTTGACTTCCGCAATGCACCCTACATGGTTCCAACACAACTCATATGTTTAAGGAAGAGCACTGCCTTCCAACATCATCTGGAGTGGGCACTGGTCTAATTCAAGGTACTGGTTTGAACATTTAAAAAACCTTTAACCTTTCTTCAGCCTGGTCCCATTCCTCAAGGGTCGTGGAGCCCCTTCACTAACTGAGATCTAGTAAACAAATGTTTTTATCTGTCGAAACCTGCCTTATACTGAGTCGTACCCGGCTCAGAGTTGCCTACAGTGACTGCTAATGGCTCTCCAGGGTTTTAGACAGGAGTCGTTCCATGTCCTATGTTAAGGACAGGGCATGCAACCTTCTACATTTAAGACAAGTGCTCTGTGAATTGGTTACGATCCTCCCCCTGCCATTTCTATTGGAAATTGGAACTGCAGTGGCTCAGAACAGGACCTTCGTGATCACTGCTGCCAAACTCTGAAAGGTCCTACCAGAAAAGGAGAAGAAAGCTACCTCTTTGCTGGCTTTTCAGAAGAGCTCCCTTTTTAGCAACAAGTTCGCGTTGAAGTCCTGCTTCTGTGGCTGTTCACATTTGCATTGTGTTCCTTGATGAGCACCCTGCTGTTCATTAGAGCAGTGTGGTATACAAGGTAAGCATCCTATGCTTTTTCTCTGTCTTTTAGTGATGTCAAGGGCAGCCTCCAGGATCAGCGGCAGATGGCATGCCTTTGAGTGTCAGTTGCTGGGAAACAACAGGAGGACAGGGCCATCACATTCATCTCTTTGTGGCCTTCCCATTGGCATGTGGTTGGCCACTGTAGGGAAACGCTTGATCAGCCTTTGGTCTGATCCATCAGGGTTCTTCTTATGCTCTTATGGCCATAAGGTGAGAAGAAATTTGCCCTGCAAATGCTGTTGACATTGAGTGAGGGTTCACAGAGAGAAAGTCCTGCAAAACCGGGAATAGCAGAGGTAGTGGTCCAGTGGTGATAAATTTGGCTTTTGAGCCAATCTAATCACTGACCACGATCGCAGGCAGACCATGTAAGTATGGCAGAGGGAATGGGATTTGTCTGTCCTCTTTTTGTCCCACATAAATCTCTAATGTGCTGGCTCTTGGGGCCTGCCCCTCTATTCTTGTTTTCACAACCTTGTTAATTTATTTCTGACTAGTCCCAAATTCTGACAAGGGAATAGCATATATAAATAAAATAAAAAATAAATAAAAATTGTTGTTGTTGTTATTATTATTATTATTTTATTATTATATTCTGTGGGACATGGCTGGCTGAGCAGAAGCACTGCTGTTAAGCCCCTACAGTGCAAGCCCCTACAGTGGATGTTTGAATTTCATACTTTGAAGCATAGGAGAAACAATTCTCTTATTCTGTTACCCTCCTCCTCAGGTTTTCTTTTCCAAGTGATGCTCCACATTCTGTGGCTACAGAGCATTCTGAGGCCTCATTGGGCAACTGGTGTGGCAGATACTCCCTTAGGATTTGCTCCTCTCTTTTTTTGGTTTGGCACTAGTCCTGCCAGCCCTCACCTCCTGCAGTTAGAGGGCGTCATGGAAAGTGGTAAGAACATAAAGAAGAGCCTGCAGGATCAGGACAGTGGCCTATCTAGTCCAGCCTCCTGTTCTCACCATGGCCAATCAGATGCCCGTGGGAACCCTACAAGCAAGACCCAATCACAAGGGCATTCTCCCGTCTTGCAGTTTTCAGCAATAGTTTTCCAAAGCATTACTGCTTCCAACTGTGGAGGCAGGGCATAGCCATCATGGCTAGCGGCCATTGATAACTGCAGCCTCCACAAAATTGCCAATCCTCTCTTAAAGCCATCCAAGTTGGTGGCCATCACTCTTATTTGTCCTGAACTAGATTGTATCACAAGGGACATGGGTGGCACTGTGGGTTAAACCACAGAGCCTAGGACTTGCCGATCAGAAGGCTGGCGGTTTGAATCCCCGTGACAGGGTGAGCTCCCATTGCTCGGTCCCTGCTGCTGCCAACCTAGCAGATCGAAAGCACGTCAAGTGCAAGTAGATAAATAGGTACTGCTCCGACGAGAAAGTAAACGGCATTTCCGTGCGCTGCTCTGGTTCGCCAGAAGCAGCTTAGTCATGCTGGCCACATGACCCGGAAAAACTGTCTCCAGACAAACACCAGCTCCCTCGGCCAATAAAGCGAGATGAGCGCCACAACCCCAGAGTTGGCCACAACTGGACCTAATAGTCAGGGGTCCCTTTACCTTTACCTAGATTGTGGCACAGACCAAATAAATGCAGCAAAGTTGGCAGTTTAGTATGATGTGTCCTGTGCCACAGATATTGCACACACACCCCCCACACACATAACCCACCCCCAGGGAATGGCTTAAGGGGGAAACACCAAAATATATTTCCTTACAGCTCCAAGGTGTAGCCTTTTGTTTCCCTGCCTGAAACTAGTTTCTCTTTCGTCCACTCTGCTTGTGGTAGCAAGAATGTTGGTGACTGTAAATGATATATCACTACAGAGCAGATGGTTTTGTTTGGCAACGTCCAGATTTTCCATTCTGGAATTGACGGCAGGAAGCTGGCCTGCGAAATTAATTGCTGCTACTGTTTTACATGCCCTGAATGACTCTCAAAAGTGGGGCTGGGGGGGTGGGTGAGGAAACCCACACGCTCTTGTGTTTGCATGAAGTGTTGTTTAAAAACCTTGCGTGGAGAAGAGTATAATAATGCCATAGGCAGCCCGCTGGGATCAAATAATGAGCGGCTCATGATGTAACCTCCATTCATTGCTGTGGGGTTTGTGCAGAAGATCGCCGTAGGTGATGCCTCCTTTATTTTTGAATCTAGAAGAAAAAGAAAAGGCAGTCCAAAGCAATACAGATCTGTGTTAATAAAAACACTTTTGTTGGTGCTCTCTGCTCGGTGCTCTCTGCTAGAAAAGGAAACCAAAACCCCACTTTAGTTTGCAATTCGGAATGATGTTTTTAAAAACAGTGAAAAGACACAGCGTAAAAGAGGGTGCTGAGACTTTCCCCAGAGCAGCAGCTGGAGCCGTGTATGTGGCAGTTGCTTTCTGAGCCGGTTTTGTTCAGCCTCTATTATCTCGCTCCGTGCTGCTTGCTGGCATTGTGTCCTGAAGGCCATATGTCCCATCTGCTCTGCGCAGACATTCTGTTGGCAAGGAGCAGGGTGGCTGCCTTGTGCCTGCATCTGATTTCCATCCCAGGCAGGAATCCAAACTTTTATTGACAACTCCACCTCCCATTTAGCAAAAAAAGGGGGGGGGAGAGAAATGAAAAAGAAATGATGGGGCCATTTGATTTCAGTTTTTAAAGCTGTAAAGTTTGTAATACATGTCTCGTTCCACTATTGAAGAGTTGTGTTGATATAAAGCTAAGGACACGCAGGCAGATCTTCTGTGTGCATTAAAAGAAACAATGCAGCACAAAGGAAGCACGGAAACTGCATCTCCAGGTCCAGATTACAAAAGGCAAACTGGTCCTATTCAAAGCAAGTTTTTCATGCGTTTTTAGAATTCATGTTGTGCTTTGGTTTATGGTGTGTTCTATATCTCATGGGATTGCATCAGGTTAAATATAAATTATCATTGAAATAATCATTAAAAATGGACTGGAGCATATACTACTGTTGGGTTATTTCATTTTTTCCACAGGGTGAACCCACACCTGCCCTAAGTTAGGCAATTCCGGCTTAATTTTTGCTCGTACTGTACTTGTCTGGTGCATGTGCTGTTAGCAATAACATGTAACTTGTTTACAGTGTACAAGAAGAATCAGGCTATAGGCGCGGCAAAGACCACAGTAAAGAGACCAGTTACATGTAGAATAATTCCTATAAATGCACTTTATAAAACAGTTAACGGCTGAAACAATTTCTTGCATTTAGTTCTCTTGCCGCAACCTTGTAGATGATCTAAATCCGAGGATGCCTTTGTTATAAACTTGTGGGACAACTCAGCTGGTAGAGCATGAGACTCTTATTCTCAGGCTCTGGGTTCAAGCTTCACATTGGGTAAAATGATTCCTGCATTGCAGGGGGTTAGACTAGATGACCCACATGGTCCCTTCCAACTCAACAATTCTATGATTACACGTGCAAGGCATGTGAATGATTGCAGGCTGTGGTGCAAGTTTCCATTTCCTTTTAGACATCAAATGGTTCTGAGGTTATGTGGCTTTTACACATGAATATATAGGTTTTTATGACAAAAATAGGTTGCATAAAATTAGCCCCATAGGAAGTCGTGCAATCACACTCACGCACGCAAAAACACTGTCAGTCAGAATGGGGTATGAATTATCTAAAACTTGTTGCAGACAGCATGACCTTTATTTGTCTTTTTAAAATGTGCTAATGGATTTGCTGAACAAAACTGTCACAGAGGTAAGTCAAGTTGTAGAACTGTGTGTGGTGATCTTTAGCATCCTTACTCATGAGTAAGTGTACTTCAGGCTAGCATCCACTCTCTTGAGCCCTGCGGAATTTGCTTCTTTTGTCACCTAATTTAGGCTGTATGGAGCCTGTGAACTTTATGGTGTCAGCTTTTACTCCATTAGGCTGACAGCAGCATATTTACAGGTAAGAGTCTTTGTTGGATGCATCTGACATGATCAAAGGGTCCAAATGCTCAGGAAGTCATTGAACAACCATGCTACGTGTAGCCTTTGAAGGCTTATAGACCTAGAGGGACTCAGCAACGAAACCCAGACATAGCAGTCCTGCAAAATGCAATATAAAACCAGCCTTGTCTGAACTTTGTCTACTTTAGAGGCAGCCTGGGATGCTGGACACACTTGATAAAAAGGTGTGCTTAGAAAGATGGGGAGATAGGTTTCACTGACACTGTTGATTATTGGACCAAAAAAGAGGTATTAGCTAATTTTATAAAATATAATCATGATTATGTTTGCTTCTATACATTTTAAGAACTCTTTGATGACGGGGGGGGGGGGATTGAGTGGATTTTGCAGAAATTATTTGGTGTGCCACATTCCCACCCTGTCTGAGAAACACTGGAATAGAAACCACTTGAAAAGTCAAGATTAAAATGTTTTCTAGCAAAATACATTGGGCTGCAGCAAATCAGAACAACACCCCCTAGCTTTTTAAAAAGTCGCCTATCTTTTCCTTGATGGTTTTTCTTAACAGGCCTGCTGTCCCTTTTAACAGCTATGAAATTAAAAAAGAATGAGAGTTGCTGCTGTTTGTCTGGAAAGTGGAGACTTTCCCCCTGAAACTTTTGAGAACAGCATCAGCTCCTCAGACTCTCTGAGCTGGCGAACCCACTGAGTTGCCGAAAGAGTTAAATCTTGATAGAGTGAGCTGCTCTGCTCTCCTCTCCCCCACTCCCTATTCTCCGACCCAAGCAAACTGAGACTCACTTTGCAGTCTGCAGACGGCTGGAGTTCAGCAGCGGCTGCTGTAGGCAATGTAAGAAGAGCAATGCCAGCAGTCCTTCAACAGTGAAATTCAGACTTTTGAAGCAAGTCTGCGTAGCAGAGCTCTCCGAAGGCAGCATTTTGGTAAAACTGGTTTTCCCCATCCTTTCCCGCCCTGCTGAATGGAATGAGGCACAGAAACCGTGCCAATTGCTCATTTGGAAAAATGCTGTCAGCCTGGTTATGATCCTGCCTGCGTGGTTAATACCTGGCTGCGTGATCTTTTGTTTATCATGGGATTTCCTCTCTTTATAACTTACACAGTAGTGGAAGCTCAGGATTATGAGGGGAAAGCTGCGAGGATGCTCTTTTGAGAAGAAGTCCGCAAGCCTGAACTTCACACCGAATTTATCCAAATACAGTGGTACCTCGGGTTACATACGCTTCAGGTTACATACGCTTCAGGTTACAGACTCCGCTAACCCAGAAATAATACCTCGGGTTAAGAACTTTGCTTCAGGGCGAGAACAGAAATCGTGCTGCGGCGGCGCGGCGGCAGCAGGAGGCCCCATTAGCTAAAGTGGTGCTTCAGGTTAAGAACAGTTTCAGGTTAAGAACGGACTTCCAGAACGAATTAAGTACTTAACCCGAGGTACCACTGTGTAGTATTGTAGAAACTAGGGAAGGGAGTCACAGCATCCAAGCATTATGGAGTTGATCCTGGATCATGTTCCAAGCATGTTTTTCAGAATAAGCCACCATAGTGGCCATCTTGGGAAGGAAGGAAGGAAGGAAGGAAGGAAGGAAGGAAGGAAGGAAGGAAAGAAGGAAGAGCACAGCCAGAACCATTGTTTTATACACGAGGATGGTACACAAATTAAACGTCTAGGCCCACATTGTGCAGCTCAAGTGAATGGATCCGCTCAAACACTGGGCAAGCGTTTTGAAAAGGAGGACTTCTGTTGAGTGTGCAAGGTGCAAACTGTGTTGAGGTGGGAGGCAGGAAGAGTCCCTTTTTCAAGCGCTGGTGAGCATTTCCAGTTCTTAGCTGAACCTACCTGCAGTTCTTGAAGAATTCCACTGGCTGCCCTCAAGATAGAGAGCCAGTGTGGTGCCGTGGTCAGAGCGTTGGGCTAGGACATGGGAGACCAGGGTTCAAATCCCCATGAAGCTCACTGGGTTGGCCACCTACAACTTACACCATCTCTGATTGTTGGCCATGCCGACTGGGGCTTTGGGGAGCTGTCGTCTACAACTGACCGGAAGGCATCAGGTTAGGGAAGGGTGATTGTGTCCAAATGTATGCTGTCCATTGCAAAGGAACCTGTTCCTATTTTTGCAGACTAGTAACTCTTGTGGGCTAGCATACAAGGCTAGCATACTCTTTATTCAGAGTAGCCAAAAGTCACAGAATAAGATCACTTGTGAGTTTCACAGAGCTCTCCTTCAGATTAGATATTATGCAAAAAGGGGAGGGGGGAGACCTAAAGTTTCTGACAAAGGGTTAAGACAGGGGTCAAAAACCTAAGGCCCATGGGCTACAAACAGCCCATGGGGGTCATTTAACCGGCCCATGGACCCCCACCGCCCGCTTGGTTGGCTCCTGTGCATCGCGCTAAACCGGCACAGAGCAGAGTGGGGACCACTTTCCGCAACACTGGCCAGCTTGCCATTGGCTGCAGGAAGCTCCTGCAACCAATGGGAAGCTGCGCACACCTCCTCCGTGCTGGAAGGAGCACCAGAAATAGCGTTTGCGCATGTGTGTGTGTGCGCACACTCCGGCCCACTGCAGCGTCTGCGGGATCGTGAACCAGCCCAAGCCACAAACACTTTGCTGACCCCTGGGTTAAGGGATTGTATTGAGTATGTGACAGTCTTCAGCAGGTGATTCAGGATGCTTTTTGCAGACTAATGGTTCTTAACCTTTCTGGGGTCATGCCCCCCTTTGAGAATATGGTGACAGTTATGGAGCCCACCCCCCACCTCAGATTTTTTTTCAGAAGGGCAATTTTCAAAGTAACAGGAAATAAATTGATTTTCTGCCCAGATCCCCTGAAACCCATTCCTGGACCACAGGTTAAGAACCCCTGATACTGACATACTTCTCCCCAGCAGAGGGTAATGGCTTCTGCCCAACTTCAGTCATCTGCTGCCTCAGGTCCCTGGCTTTCATTCCAGTGTGGTTGTTTGGACACTTCCACAGTCCACCTTTTATAAAAATCCCCTCCTCCAACGTGCTTTTCATTGTAAACATTTGTTCAGCACTTTTGCAGGGAAATAAACATTTTTTAAGGAGAAAAATGCTGGGGGTGGGTGGGGTTTGTAGCAGCGGCTTTGTAACTGCCACAACTATTCAGTGCTTCTGAAATAGTTGGATCTCAAGCCAAAAGATCTAAGCTTTTTTTCAAAAACACACTGGGTGGAGTACGAAAGCAATTTGAAACGAAGATGTCTTTTAGAAGTTCTTTGCAGGAGCTGCTTATCTGTGAGGCTTGGAGAACATCTAAATGGAGGGGAGGCAGACGTGTGTGGGTCTTTTCCATAAAAGCAGGAGCATTCTGGGAAGTGGTGTGTGTATGGACTCATTTGGCCCTGTCCACTTGACTGAATACAGAACTACTGCTCTAGCCCTGGAAGACCTCCTCACAGGTGAGCAGCCCCCACATACCTGGGTGAATAAAGGACACCAGAAGTAGCAGGTTCTCCTCTCACCTTCTGCTAATTAGACAGCAAATTTCAAAGCCATGGAAGTTCTTCCTGTACTTACAATAGGCTCCCTGTGTGAGGTAGAAGATTGGAAGACCAGGAGTCTAAATTACTCGGGGAGCCTCCCCAAGTAGTTGAGAAAACACCCTACTTCCGGAATGCAATGGAGGTGGTGGTGGAGCTTAACACGCTCATCCCTGCTTCCATATTGGTTTTAAACACGAGAACACCCAGAGAGGTCATATGTCTACCTCAAATCTTGTTTACCAGAAAACACCAACCAGATTTGAGCCCACAACACATCATCCAAGTTTATCATTCGTTTCAGTAAGATTTCAGTGTACCTTCCCCTGGCCTATATATTTATTTACATTCCATATAGTATATTCCATATTCACAGGTCTTCCTTGCACCATTGGCCTTTTGACCTCTTCAAAAGAAGCAACTTTTCTGGACCTCTGTGCACATATATTCTAAGTGACCTTTTCACACATCTTGCCACAGAGGGCTTTTTTAGTCTCTAACGGTGGCTAGAATGGTGTTGAGCCACCAAGGTTAATTATCCACTATTTGGATGAAAACGTTTTCCTGAAACTTCCTGTCATCTGGATTTTGGGCTTACTACAGGCATGGAGGAGAGGGGTTGGATAGATGACCATTTGGCACTACAAATACTCACTGTACTCTAAACATTTTCTGAGCCTTGCCCTTGCTTAGCATGCCATTATGAGGGGGATGCAAGATCATCTGTAAGGCAAATACTCCCCATTGACATTTGACTCAAAGCAGTAACAAGCCCTTCTCCCAGACCCTTTTCTACTGATCTAAGTTATTTACAAGCATCACTGACCACTGCCAATGGTGTAGTGCTAATAACTACAGGGTTTTCCAACTGCATATCAAACAAATATCCCCCTTCTTATGGCATGGAGGGGTGTACCTCTTTTTACAATCTAGTACAGTAACAACCCAGCTAGGGTCTTGCTATTACTTTGAAATTGCAAAGAATAAAGGCAGTTTCTATGTAGGGGGTGGAGAGAAAAGAGAAAAAGCATGAACTTTCTTTTCAGTGTAACTGCTGGAAACCACATCCCCACCCCAATGAAAAGCTCACTCTTCCTGCCTTTATCAAGGAGGTGTCAGATCTCACACCTTTGCAGTAAGGTACAGAAATGCAAATTTTTTGAAACCCGGTAACACCTAATGAGAGGATGTAAACTTTCTGTGAACTTAATTTGTGGATTTGTGCTGTGTGTTTTTTAAACCCCAACATTTCTCAGAATGTTTCAATGCTAGTTGTACATTTCCAGATTGGACAATTTAAAAATACAGAACTTGAAGATGGTCCTTTGCTCTTCTGAATGACTTCAGTTTGTTAGACCTCCTGTTTATAACCCCCTGCATGTCTGCAGGAGACAAAAAAAATATACAAAGTGCAACTCCAGAATTACATACCTGAGAATCAGCAGTCCTATTTCCATTGACTCTCTTCTCTATTCTAGCATCAAAACTTCACTTTCGTTAAACTTTGTTTACAAGTTACAATACTTCCCCTTTTTCCGAGTCTGCAGCTACTAGTAGCTGTACCTTGTCTTGTAGTACCTTATCTTCAATTAACTAAGCTTTCATCCCACAAATTCCTGTTTTGCATATTCAACAGTGAGGAATCCCTACATACGTACATACTTTGGGCTAATAGGTACACCATTGTTTTGAGAGCAGTAACATCACCCTTGACCCAACCACAATGCATACAAGAGTATTTCCATTAGCACAGGCATGTCCAATTCCCAAGAGACTGTGATCTACTCCCAGTATAAAAAAACTGGTAGTGATCTACCCATTGTCATTGGCTCTTTTTAGGAGGGAAGTGCCCAGAGTTGTTGCGCTTTTTGAGGGGAGGATTGCACAGAGTTTTTTAGCTTTCCCCCCGTAACTTTTTGTACACAATAAGGATCCCGCGATCTACCAGGATCAGCCGGGGATCTACCAGTAGATAGTGATCTACTGGTTGAACACCCCTGCATTAGAAGAATTGCTTTACCAACCAGGGGAAAGGAGCATTATGGTATCATATTGCTTTGTTAAAACAGCTGTGTGGTTTTCTTGTTCAAAACGGCTGCATGGCAAGAACAGGTTAAACTTCTCTGTTGCTTATGCAAGGATCCGTTTAATTGGTTGAATGTGTCATATACTTATTAAAGACACAGAACTTTACTGGGGAAAGGGGAAAATAAGTTCTCTACACTAGATGCTGCCCTCATAAAAATGTGATAGTAGACTTCAGGACCGCAAGTTGGTGGGAGGGAATCCTGTGGCCTTTCAGCTATTGTCGGACTATTACTCCCCACCTCAACCCTTGACCATCAGTCATGCCAACAGCTGATGATGGGAGTTGGAATCCAAAATTCTCTGGATGGTCACAGATTTCCCTCCTCTGTATTAAACTAAGGAGAAGACTAATCTCCCCCCTGCATGAAGCAGCATTCAGCATGCTACATGAAGCAGCATTCAGGAATACAACAGCTCTTCCTACAGTACATAATTGTGCCACCAGAAAAAAACTCACATCTGGCAGGATCACAACAAAAAGTTGCAAAGACCTACCAAAGTTAAGAGATTCTGGAGCCTTAGGAAAGTAGGCATAAATTGTACAGGTTTGTGAACAAAAGATGGGGTTTTGTTTATGCACCCTCCTTTTCTTCAGTGACACTCAGAAAGACTAATATAGAGCAAAGTGACCCAAGCAATTATTGCTAAAAATTCACGACTTTAGTATTTGCTTGTTTCCATGGTTGTCACTTTGAGGCTTGCAAGGTGTATCAGGACCAAAAAAAAAGGTTCGTTTCTCTATGGCTGGAGAGCAGAATTGCCAATTACACTGGATGGGATCTGGCAGCTGCTTCCCATAATCATTCAGAAAGAGATGAGACTTGAATAGCAAGGAAAGGCTGAGGTCGTCTTTTCGACAAGAATGAAAGTAGCTTTCCTTTGGTCAAAGCCACCTGGGCAGAAGTTTAGAAAGCCAGAGACCTGTAAGTGAGAAAGCTACTGACACAGCAAACCTGCAAGATTTGGACAGAGGTGGCTCTCTCACATACACACACGGGAAAGGGGAAATGTGAGTCTGGATGAACCATATTTTCCAGATTCCCACTTTCATATGAACAATTATACCAGAAGTCATCCAATTACGCACAAGCGCTCCCACAAATATGCAAAAGTCCAAGAAGAAATGCCTACATTTCATGCGCAAACCCACACACCTAGAACTTGCTAAGGTTTCTGCACCACCCAAACCTTTAAACCTCTTTTGATATACCTACCCATGCCCTGTATATGCAACCTCTTCCCACACCCATCTCTAGGCGGAGGGAACCATAAACTCTTACAACAACATGTGTCCCTTTCGGTGGGGCCACAAAGCACACAGTACCAACAGCTCGGGTTTTTGAATTATTTTCAGCTAACAACCAGAAAGGCAAAGCTGTCTGTACATTCTGTCTCCCCTCCCCACAGCAGGTTTGAGAAAACTGGCTCGGAAGAATGATACAAGGTTGGTAGGTAAAACCAGCCCTCAGGGATAGAACCCAGTCACATGACACCTCTCAGATTTGCACCCGGGAATCAGAAACATGGAATCATAGAGTTGGAAGGGACCCCAAGGCTCAACCACCAGAAACGCAGGAATTCTGCCCTGGGTGAACCAGAACCACCAACCTTCTGGTTAACAGCCAGACCCACTGACCCACTTGGATAGAGAGAGTATAATCGCCCATAAGTGCAGACAGCTTAAGTACCTATATCAGGCTGCTCACAATGTGCAAAGAGCAACTCAAGGCTGGCTACAGTTTTATTTTCTCCTGAAAAACTCCTATTCATTTATTGCAGAGGTAGTCCCTTATTAATGTGTGGGTACCAAGATGTATACTGCCTATTCAAGGGTCTAAGGGGGCCAGTGTAACAGTCCTTTAACCCTATGATTATGCTGCATCCTTGCTAATTAAACCTTTGTGCGATTTTGATGCATACCTTCTGCTGAGGGAATCAAACAAGAGCAGGTCAACCCAAATATTGTCAGGATGACATTTAAAGCCTCAAGCTTGAAAACCTATTTTTTCAAAACTGAAAAAAGGCTGGACATGAAGCATAACCCTGGGCTACAAACCACACTTACCTGGGAGTAAGCCCCACTCAATTCAGTAGGACCTACTTGTGAGTAGACATCCTTAGGGTGATGTTCCTAGGCATTTGATGTTAAATTGACCACTTATAGTTATTTTGAGGTTCTCCTATCCATTGTGATTTTTTTAAAAAGGTAAGATCATCTGCTAAGTCCATGCTTCCCAAACCTGGGTCTCCAGCTGTTTTCAGACTACATTTCCCATCATCCCTTACCACTGGGTCTTGCTAGCTAGGGAAGATAGGAGTTGTCATCCAAAAACAGCTGGAGAGCCAATTTGGGCTCCTGCTCTAGTCTTCTACCCCACAATACTATTTTTCCACTTAAGAATTTGCAATAGTCTACTAACACAAATATTAACTTATAATATTCTAGTTCTAGTCCGGAATACCTAAGAGACTGCAGCCCTAAATACTGTTACTCAAATGCTGCTTTTAAATACAAAAAACAAAAACAAAAAAACAAGGTCCTGCTCATGTTTAATGTCCCAAGCAAAAGTTTATTTGACCTCCCTGGGCCTTAACTTAAGCTGGTATGATTACAGGCTATTTCTTTTATTCCATACACTCTCTCTCTCAAAGTCATTATGTATAGGGTGTTATTTTCACTGGAACTGTCCATACTAACGCTTCGTTTGCACATCAAAACATTCCCTCATCTACTGTAAAAGCAAAAAAGGTCTTTACAGGGAAGACTTCCCCTTCATGGAGGAAAAAGTGGGAGGGAGAATGTGGGCCTCCCTTCTAGTTCAAAGGTAGGTGAGAATCTAGCAGTCAGAGAGAAACAACTCTTGTGACAGGCTTGAATTATGGGACATCCAGTCCGATGGCTTAAAAGTTAGTTACAAAGCACACATCTACCAGTAAACTTTGTTTCCAATTTTATTATTCCACATGGTTAACAAAAAGGAAGATTACATAGCTAGCCATCCAACCTTACTCTTACCCCTCCCTTTCTTTCTCTATGCTGGGACATTTTCTTGTGTTAAGGAAACTTACAGCATAGATCTATATTACAATGACAGCTCTGTAGAAAGGTAACAGCACAAACAGCTCACACATCTTAAAAAATAAAAAAACACCTGTTTTTAAGTGGAGGAAAGCTGAAGTTGCAGTAGATCAAAGAACATCTTCCGAGTTTCTTAATTAATGGCATGTAATTCAATGTTTTCCATTCAAACCGGGAACGTATTCAATGGTTCAAACCCTCACTAAGCCATTTGTTATTGGTTTTTACACAATTACCAATGTTGTTGCTTAAAAACAAAGGCTTAGCAATGACAAACTAAATTGGGAAGTCACGTAACCAAACGCAAGAACATACGTGTGCCAAAACCCAGAAGTATAACCACTGTGTTAGCCCAAGAATCCTGAACAAATGAAACATTCCAACTCCCATACTTGAACAGGCAAGTTCAGTACAATAATTAAGTGCTTAATTACCAATGTTTGCACTCAGGGATACATATTTATGAATTGCTCACTTGGAACAGAATTTCGAGAGCAGACGTGTCACCCACCCCTCAAAATACATGCAATCATTGGTGAATTTAGTTGCTTTTATTTTTTATATATATAAAAAGATTAAAATAAAACATTTGACAAGCTATAAAACATACCACAATAAATTCAAATGTGCTAGCTGTGCGTAAGACACGTTTCTAAAAGGCACCCTGCCACCAATATTTTAAATGCTCACCTAATTCCAGTCTGGCTCCTAGTTTCCTCTTCCTTCACTGAAGGAGAAATCCTAGACCACTAAACTCATCAAGAGACTAGCTTCACCAATCCCTTTCAGGGATTTTCCTTTTTAAAAAATAAGAGAGAAAAAAATCTATCACTAGAACATTTGAAGTTGTGCATAACTGCTTCACTTCATACATTTCACTGGTATTAAACCACCAAGTTTTCAAATGCACAAGGGTTTTCTCCTAATCGAAAAAAGGTAGTGATTCAGGGCCACTTATAAGGACCATTAAAAAAACCCCAAGGAAACAAAAAAGGTAAGTTGCAAAACACTGCTGTGCTTCAACAAAAGAGCTCTGCTTCCATACTTCCATCTCTTTTAACCCACACCCTTAAACATAAAAAGAAACCAAGACTTTCCAGTATTCACCTCTCACACTCACAGATGAAATGTTAACACATTCGAGCTATTTAGCCTGTCAGGATTTGACAGTGTAAGAGTGCCCAGCTACGCAGTCCTGAAATACAGCAACATTACGACACAAATGCACCATCTGAAATCCTCACCGTCTCTATTCCAATGGCTAGAAGAACACAGTGCTCAAGTATTCTCCCTATTAGGTAGATCTTCGTTGGTTCCTGTGCAGTCTCTTTACTACCAAGGTCTCCACATAGATTTGGAAAGGCTGGAGGAAGGCACATTTTGCGTCCTAGACCTGTCCAGTCCATCCAAAGAGATGCGGCTTTGCTCAGCCTCCGTGTCTTCCACATCAGAGCAAGTCTCCTCACTGGAGGAAGGTGAAGGAAGAGGCGAATTGGGACTGGGCAGGTTCAAAGCTGCAGGCGATTCCCCAGGCGTTTGGGAGAGCCCATCGCTGCCAGGCCACTGGCTGATGGAGGGGTCTGACAAGACATCCGCTATCAGGTCCTGGAAACTGCCTTCGTTCAGAGGCATCGACTCCAGAAGGTGGTTCAAGAGCTCTGCTGCAATGGTGGAATCAATCCCAGGGCAGTTGGAGACAAACGTATGAACTTCATGCATGCACTGAATGTACCCAGCTGCAAAGCGCTCGCTGGCCTCCCGCTGCAGTTTGTCACTATCTGAGACCACAGGCAAAGAGAGAAACACAGCAAGGGTCACAAAACATCCATTTCTCCTCTCCCCAGTAGTACTGCAGAAAGCTATCTACTCCCTTGCCCTTCAGGGCTGGCTAGATGCTTAAACTACATCCCACCCCCCACCATACCTGTCAATGCCAAACTTGAAAAATGAGGCCCGGAGGCTTCTAACTAAGGGACAATCAGGAAGCATCGCTGCAAATCTGGCTGAGGAGACAACTGTATGTTTCAGGATGAAAGCCCCAGCCTTTATGCAACGAGATAAATGTTTTGGAAAAACAAGGTAGATGGGGCTGATAGATAAGGTTTTATATACCTAAATGTGCCTGCTTTCTAGTAACAGTTGTATAAGAATAGTTTTAACTAGACTGAGCAAAGTTGGATTTATGCAGTCATTTCACTGCAAGTCCAATTCACAACTCAAGCAGAAGCAGAACTGCAATACTCCTTGTCACAAGCACAGCTCGGCCTAGATATGTTTACTCCAAATAAAACAAGTCTCATCATAATAATTAAGTTAGATCAGAAAAAGGATAGCAGCAGCCACTAGGTAGGGCAACAGGGAAAGAAAAAGAACATAAAGTGAAACCAGAACAGTGAAGGCCAGCAACTTTCGTTCAAACCAGAAATACTTCAGGTGTGCTCTAAGTAGCACCGGTTTTGTGTTAAACTCCCTGGTATCACAAGGGGCAGGGAGAAGAGACATCATGCATACAGCCCTCAATAGCAAAGAGGAGGAATCAAAATGTAATGATCGTAAGGAAGTAGAGAGAGCTGCTTACAATACTTGGAAAAAATTCCTACTGAATTCAAGGGGACTTCCACTCAGGTAAGGATATACAAGACTGCTGCCTTACTAAGGAGAACAGAAAAGATAGCTTCCCACCCACAGAGAAATGGGAGTACAGAATTGAATTGCTTTATTGGCAAAATAAGCAATGGATGCATGTGCCATGCAATCCTTGGGTCCTGATGCTCCCTTTTCTAAAAAATAATAATGCAATTTAACTCTGCACCCCCCCCCCCCAGCCCATTTCCCTCCCTCTATCTGACAATCCCCTTTAATTTATCTGCCCGGCAGCTTCCTCCTCCAGCCCTAATAAGGAGTAGTTCTCTAGGTAACTGAGGAAACAGCCAGGTCCCCGAGGCAGGACCAGGATGGAGATGGGAACGAGAGAGAAGGAAGATAGGAAGGATGGATGGATGTCACAGGGCAACAGCTGCGGCCACTCACCGAGAGACCTGTTCTGCAGGATGCCTTGCACCCGCTTCACCGTCAGCTCCAATACCTCGGCGTTCTCCATCTTCGCCTGGAACTAGCAGCAAGCAAAAGGAGAGAGGGGGGGGGAAAGGACACAGCAAAGAGCGATCTCGTCAGTCCCAGCCCCCCTTGCCGTCCTCCGCGCGCCCCCCCCCTCCGCCCGAAAGCCCTCCGCCGGCCAAGTTACCTCCGTGTCCGCCAAGATCAGCCGCAGCTCTTGCAAGCTCTCGTTGATCCGCGCCCGCCGCTTCTTCTCCACCAGCGGCTTCCTTGCCTAGCGAGGAGAAAGAGGAGGGGAGGAGCAGAGGGCGCCACTTGCAGATCGCTGCACGCGCGCCCGCTTGCAAAAGCACGTCGCGAGCGCAGCCCGCCCCAGAAGTCCAACCCCCCCACACACACCCCCGCGCAGCTCCCGCACCTCCCTCACCTTCCTGTCTCCTCTGGCCTCGAAGAAATCCTCGTCGTCCCGGCTCGGTCGGTTCTTGCTGGGCCGAAAGGAGGGAGCCATGGCCGGATCCGGTGGGGCAAATGCAGGACGACGGAGCGGGGACGGAGAAGTGCAGAGCAAGGGCGGCCGGGGGCGGAGGCAAGGAGGCGGAGGCCGGAAAATAGTGCAGCGAAATAAATAGATGAAGCCGCAAGGCTGCTGCCTCCGTCCCGCACTCCCCCGCCCCCTCCCGCGGCCGCCGCCCCGGCCCTATTTATAGCCTCTGATTTGCATGTCAATGAGTCTATTGGACGCGGCGCGCCGAGAGGAAGCCCGAACGTTGAGCGAAGCCACCAATGGCGGGCGGGCGCTTTGTCTGGCCGGGCGCTTTCGGGGACGTTTTCCTGGTCGTAGCACAAGCGAAAGCAGCGGCGGGGGGCGGAGGGAGGCCGCGCTGCTGGACAGGGACCGTCGCCCAACGCGCGTTTGTAATGTTTGCTTGCCGTTAGTTTCTGCCTGGTGTTTTTTCAGTTGCTCGCTCGCGGGATTCGACGCGATCGTTCCGTTCTCAAGAGTTAACAGCGGGGTTTCTTGCTGGAGGAAGGGCAGTAAGGAAGCGTGTGTATGTTAGAGAGAGTGATGGGAGTTGCAATAACGTGTGGAAAGGCTGTGAAAGCGACACGCTTTCTAGTGTGCAGTCTTCAACCGTCCAAACTTGCATTATGATTTCTTACTGTGATTATTAATAACCACATGTTTGTAAGGTGGTGGTAGTGCTGTTGTTGTGACCTATCTTGTAGGGTTGCCATATTTGAAAAAGAAAAAACCAGGACACCCCAAAAGTTCTTGAGCTATTTTTTGTTTTTACAAAAATGGCAAAAAAACCCACGATTTTTAAAAATTGACTTGCCTATGATCCAGCCCCCCCCCCCCCATCACCACATCAATACCGCCTTTGAAATCCCACTAATGTCCAGGAAAACCCGGACGTATGGTAGCCCTATGAATCAGACCGTGACCCAGTCCAGTGGTTACAGGCCAGCATGTTAGGTGGCCGGACATCCAAGTTCTGACAGCAAAGTCTGGCCTTTATTAAATATCACGTACATGCTTTGAAAGCAGCAGCTACAGAAAACCAACTTCTCAGGTGTTAGATCATTGATACTACTGGAAGTGCATGTGTACAAGAGAAAGAGGCAGATGGATCTTCAAATCACAGCAGGCTCAGCAGGAACCGTCAAAATGATCTATGGTTGCAGCCTCTGAGTCATATTTTGCCTTCAGGTTTTGTTTGTTTTATATACAAGCCTTACGGAGCGCATATCTGCATCTAACCTTGAAAAGGTTTTGTCAACACTACTGACAAAGATTTGGCTTTTCTCATCTCCCCAAATCATCTGAATAATTCGTGGGGAGGGGAGCAATATCCTATCATCAGTGGAAAGAACTCTGGGAAATAACAATATTTGATACTTGGGCAATCAGTGTAATTTAGTTACAAGTCCATGCTCCACAAGAAGTAGAGTCAAAACTGCAGCAAAACAATAACTGTAGGAGGAAATACTAAGAAAACCCACAGCATACTTAACAACTCCACTACCACTGGCAAATCACAATGTGACAATCACAATGGTGCAGAACACAGAACAATTACAACACAGAACATTACATAGGATGTAATGTAGCAATTCTATTTGGAGACTTGGATTTGCAGGAAGAAGGCACTTCCATTGCAGCCAGGCAGGTGCATTCATCAATGGTTGAAGAATGCTTTGTTTACTACAATGTGTAATATATAAAGCAAATGGGCCCTTGCTACAAAATGTAGTGCTTCTGTTTAGGGTTTCAGCCACTCAATTCCATTCTCTCATCCCAGTTTCCCTTGTCAGAATTCTGCACCCACATGCTTAGTTTGGGGAGGAGGGGTTTCAATTTGGGACTTTTAATCTCCTTTAAATTTTGGTGATGTACAAATGACTCAGTTAATATCTCTGAGTAGCTTCCTCTCCCACCTCTTGGGAAACTGAAACACAGCTTGCCAGGAACTGACAAAAATACGGTTCCTTCTACACACCCGTCTCTGCTCCTGTTCCAGCTACTCCATTCTATTCCTCCATTCCATCCAGCCCCGCCTCCTTGCCAGTTTTCCCATCCCGATTCAGTCTCTTACCCTTGCATGCCAACTATTATGGAGCAGGTTTGTTTGCTTGTTTTTTATTTCCCTTCTTTTAGGTTGTTTTCTGAAGATTTTCTGTACTTGTGCATCCCTTGGTTCCTCCATTGGTTCTTCTCTCTTGTGTTTCAGGAGTGAAGTTTTAGCCGCAGAAGCATGAGGAGAACGAATACTCCAGTTAGTACTGTATACAGATTTTACAGCCATTCATCTAGACCAGGCATAGGCAAACTCGGCTCTCCAGATGTTTTGGGACTACAACTCCCATCATCCCTAGCTAACAGGACCAGTGGTCAAGGATGATGGGAGTTGTAGTCCCAAAACATCTGGAGAGCCGAGTTTGCCTATGCCTGATCTAGACACCTTGTTCATTGTGTTACCTGAGTCCTTGGGATCCTATCTTAAAGTTCCTTGCTGTCCTTTTCGAGAGGCAGACGTCTTGGAGATGACTACCAACTCAGTCTTACAGAACTGAGTTCTAGTAAGATTGCAAAAGATTGTAACCCACACCTGTGCATGGGAGCAAGGAGGGAAATCATTTTTGAGATGTTGGAAGGCAAAATTCTGAAGAATATTTAATCCTTGATACTGTACCCACACTCGTAGGTGAACAAGGAAAGGAATCGGCTTATTGCCTATATTCAAAGTACAAGGCCAAACAGACTCTCTGGTGGGAGAGAACCACTAGCAAAGCTTAAATATCAAAGTTAAGCAGCTTAGTGAAGCATAAGAATATAGGCTATTAAACCTCCTTTATCCTGTGTCAGTTCTGTGTAGCAGCAGACCTCCTTCTACCCCTCTCTGCAGTGAACAAACAACACACTGCAAAGTAAGTTTAAAAATGCTTTACTTACATAATCGGAGGTCCGCTTCATGTGTTATTCACTCCAGTAGCAAAAACAGCACAGGTATAGTATTATTGTGTAGAAATACAGAAAAAATAGCTTCAGACACATGTCCTCCCTCCATGACTTACATCATGAAGAAGAGAGTGAGGAAATAAAGTGAAGAAACACATTGTTTCCTTACCAAAAATGAGGGGGCATGACCTTACTGAGCCTACTCTTACAATTTGACCTCTGTGGTCCTTAACCCCTTTATATGCTAACTTGTAATCATGTGTAGTTATGTTTGACTGCAAATCTCCCACAGAACAATGCCCATATGAGTAGAAAGGGACAAAGAGATGACCAAGTAGGACAGCAAGAGTATCCATGGGAGGAAATTTACATATATTTGGTAGCCACCATGTGGCACATCTTATCACTTAAACAGTGTGCAGTTGAAAAGAGTAACATTCTAAGGGTTAGGTGTGCCACCAAACAGACATACATTTTCTCTTATGCAGAATGTTCCAAACCAGCACCATTCATCTCATTTCGTACAACTGTTGATTTCAGTGGGACCAATCAGTGGTTAATTTATCCAGCCCAATGTGTCTGTGTAGTCCTATATAGCTATATGAAATGAGTGAAACAGTGCTGGTCTTGACTCAGTCTCTCTAAGAAGAAATATAAGGTGCTTGCTATTTCAGAAACTGTGTCTTGAACATCACCATAATAAAATTTCACAAAGTTGCAACACAGAACATTTGAACTGGCAAAAGTTGGACTGTAACGTCAAAGCGTTTTTTCTGTCGCTGGCTCAAACCAAAAGCTTGATTTTAAAGCATTGCATTCAAGAAGCCCTTCAAGATATCCCCCCCCCCCCCAAATGCCTAGCAACTTCCTTTTCCTAGAATTCACTCTGTTCCTTCCAAAGCATAAGAAGAATTAAATTGCTGCCCCTGTATGTCTAGCACTCATTTAAATGTTCAGCATGTTGAAAGCAGCAAGAACTACTAACTTGGGGTTTGGGGACTTAGGAGTAAATTTCCATTTCCTCTATGGGAATGTGCACATTTCCAGTATGTGATATGGAGCCATGCTATTGTTTCTCAACAATAGTATGTTCATCATTATGAATGTCATAGGAAGTCAGAGGTCATTAGTCATCAGAATGCAAGAAAGGCTATTAGCAGAGCGATCATTGAGGTCCGTGTTAGCTGTATCAGTGCAAAGCAGTATCCTAGGAAAATATTGCTGTTCTTCTTGCCGGTATCAAACTCCCTTACTCTTGCCCCACACATTCCACATACAGAAGCCAACTGGACTGGCAGAGAAATCATTTCACTACTGACAACTGGACAGAGTCGTCCACCAAACCTGAGGGCAGCAGATTTGTTATGGGGGTCCAGGACATGGCACACAGAGCTTTGTGCTCCAACAAAAGGGTAGGGCCAGGGGACTTGGGGGGGGGGAGGCAGGGGGCTGCTGTTGCCCCTTGCATCTGCTGGCCCCTTGCACCTGCTGCCTGAGGCAGTCGCCTCGCTCTGTCTAATGTTAGGGCCAGTCCTGAATGCGTGTTGTTCAGGACATTGCATAAGTTATGGGGACCCCTCCAATTCTGATTCCACTCTTCCTGCTGTCCATCAGCAATTCTTTAAGCTGTTATTTCACTTGCAGATTTCAAACACTGCTATCTGATGTGAACACAATTCATTCATGACAGCCGCCTTTTGATATCTGAATACATAGCTTGACAACACGAATGGTGTGGGTGTCGTGCCAGTAGGACAAGTGGGCAAACAGGCATAGATGTGGCTACCAGGAGCTGCAGTGGCAGTCCCCATCTGCCACACTTTCTCATGGTGACAATCCACACATTCATGATTTAGAGGCCTTTGTTGCTGATCAGGTGCTAATAAATATTGAAGGGATGCATATGATGAGGGATCCATTTTGTCATCTGAGGCGAAATGGGAATGGGCTGTTTCCTGTCCCCCTGCCACACCACCGCCCCCAGTGCCCCACCCGCCCCACCACCTCTGCTGCCACCGGGATGCCCCCCTCACTGAAATTCAGCAAGAGGAAGGCTTTCCGAAAGGCCTCAGTGCTCGTCTTCGCCGCCCTAGTGGTGGGGAAGATGAGCAGCAATGCTGCAAGCTGGAAAATCTCCCTCTTGCTGAACTCAGTGAGAGTGGGGCAGGGGGCATTCCGCAAGGCCTTGGCACTTGTCTTCTCTGACACAGGGTTTGGGAAGATAAGCGGCAACACTGCGCACTG